TGATATTACTGCTATTAGTAGATTATTACAGTACCAATCTATTCAATGGTTAACGTAGGAATGGTCATATATAGTGTTTTGTAAATATTAAATCTCATTCTTTTGTGATGATTTGTAGGAGTCATCGGTGTAGCGCAAATCGCAACACGAAAGTATGCGAGATAAGCTTGTTAACTCACAAAGTTACTATCAGTTTCACTGCGAAAATTCTTTCGATTAGATAATAGTTACTGGTGCAATATAAGACGTAACAGCTGCAGTAATGGAGTCAGTGTATGGTCGTTTGAACGCAGTGGATCTACCAGTACTACGTTTGTGTTACTTCAACGCATCAATGGTCATGGACTTAAGTGTTTATTCTATTGACAAACATACTTTTCTTTCTGTTGTTTTCTTACGTGTGTGTGTGATTAAGTGTAAACAAAGTGATATTAAAATGATAACTGTGTTGTTGCAGAAATCATTCAGCTTCGATGAAAATACTTATAAACAGTATTACTACTCGCCACTCTTCACTCAAGAAGAGAGTGATGACATCGCCATTAATAATAAATAACACATGCGATAGTGGAAAAAGAAAATCGCAATTGATTGATTATTTTTTTGAAGCTCAGGAAGCTGTTATCATCAACCTTAGCACGAGCCGCTAGAGATGGTGTCTCATATATTTCTACTAATTCTGACGACGAAGACCATGCGATGCATCTCATAAAAATTTTAATGTAATATATTAAGAAGCTATACAAGATTCCAACTATTGATAATTGGAAACATGCTTCCACGAATATTAAATATAAGTAAAGACTAATAAGGATAGCATCTACGACAACACAAAAGCCCCCGTATACAATATTATAAAGACAATAGCAGAAAGTGAAAAATTTATAAAATTCTTTTTTAACAATGATCGTCATTAGCTGATCGTTAGTGAATGTGATTCTGTTTACTTAAATTGCTACTGTGTACTCAATATATTTATTTCTAATTCTTTGCTAGACAATAAATATCGGACATTATTTGAAATTGGGTATCAAACACTGGACTGTTACTTACTTTAGAACACACACACACACACACACACACACACACACACACACACACACACACACACACACACACACACACACACACACACACACACACACACACCACACACACATACACACACACACACACACACACACACACACACACACATATACACACACACGCGAGCGCGCGCGTAAGAAAACAACAGAAAGAGAAGTAAGATGTCAATAGAACAAACACTTACGTCCATGACCATTGATGCATTGAAGTAACAAAAACGTAATATTGGTAGATCCACTGCGGTCAAACGACCACACACTGGCTCCATGACTGCAGCTGCTGGTCTTATATAGCACCAGTAAGTTATATCTAATCTAAAGCATTTCCGCAGTGAAACCGATAGTAACTTTGTGATTCAACAAGCTTATCTCGCATACTTTCGTGTTGCGATTTGCGCTACACCGATGACTCCTACAAATCATCACAAAAGAATGTGATTTAATATTTACAAAACACTATATATGATCATTCCTATGTTAACCATTGAATAGATTGGTACTGTAATAATCTACTACTAGCAGTAATATCATGGATACACTAGATGTACAACAACATCTGAAAAAGATTCATCCCAGTCTAGAAAATAATGTTTATGCTGCTAATAGACTGCCCATGTACCCACGTACCAACGTTTATAATATGCAATTTGGATACAGATGATAAACCAGGCTCACATTGGATAGCTTTATATATCGATACGAATGGCATCGGTTAATATTTTGATTCATATGGACGATCACCTGCGCGATATCATCTAGAGTTTTTAAAAAGGGATTGTAAAAGATGGAACTGGAATGTTGATAGGATACAGAATGAGTGGACGTCAGTTTGTAGTGAATATTGCTTAACGTATTTGCTATGTAAGTTAGTAGTGTAACACTATACAACGATGTAATAAGGGGGGGGGGGGGGATTTGGGCCTCCGGACACCTACACTCACCAGACAAAACGCGGAAGCAGAGCTTCCCGCTCAGTACCAGCCCGGTTTGAGCCGGCCCATACGTGCAACAGCAAAGCTGCTGCGTGGCTTTACTACTCTATTTCTAAAAAGCCTTGAATATTATATTGAAAACATTGAACCCAATAGAGTATCCAGGAGTTTAGTTTATGTAAGTTTCAGGGATTTTCAATGCGTAGTTTTCGGAGCATATTTACAGGGAACACACTATAAAACGATGTTTTAGTGAATGAGATGTTTTGCTCCTATTTTAAAGATAATCAATAACAATTAATAATAACATTTTAATTAATTAATTAATCAATAACATTTTAGAAATACAAATTGTAACAAAATTAAGGAATGTGTTTTATTGATAAATCAGAATAGCGTGTCAGTTATGAACAAATAAATATAATAAAATAGCACTGATAAGCAGGGTGTACAAAGAGTAATAGATAACAGAGGCAAATACCGTGTTCAAGGAACAATAGGTAAGAGGAAAGGCTGAACAATGAAACGCTAATGAGGGTACAGGCCCATCGAATATCAATTAGATATTAGTTAATTGATCTGCACATCTCCAGAACCGCGCATCCTACGAAAAACGGACTGCAGATTCGTGATCAAAGCATGCCGAAACCTTTATTTTTAGGATCCGTCGACCCACTGTCAGCCGATGAGGGCTGAGGAGTAAGCCAGAACTAGTACAAACTAACTACTCATCCAACTTCAAACAAATAAGGCCACAGCTGCGTTATCACTCCTGAGTACTAAGATTCACACATTTGCTTACGAACTTTTTGCAAGATGTTTTGGCAATCCTCATAAACGATAAAATCTGATTGATATAAAGTAGGTATATTACGTATAATTGTGGCCGTGGAAGGAAAAGAGGGGAGATTTCCCGCCGGGCAAGGTGTTCTGCACGGGGAGCGGCCACCACTCCGTATGATAGTTCGGTGATGTTCTATATATACTGTTTATGGTTCGGAATGTTGATAGCGTGATTTAGGCTTCGGTGTGTTTCGCTTGTGGTGCGACGACAGCGCCGCTACATAATTGTATCCGAATTTTTTTTCGTTATGTTCATATTGCCCACGTATTCACGTAAATATAACAACATGTTTGTTTTGCTAACAAACCTTAAAATATAATATAACACATTCTGAGATTTTATTACTACACACACAGAAACGAGTTGCAATTATCATGATATTCGAGTGCAAGTAAATGTCGTGCAAAGCTTCAATAAAAATAAAGCTAAATGGATGCCGTGCGCTAACCGTTGTGCATTACATGAAAAACGTAAATAGAATAAAGCAGCAAAGTGTAGATTTTGAAGCTGTTCTTTAACGTGCACAATAAAGCAAAACATACGCACAATGGATACCTCAATCACATATCTAATCTTCTACAGACTTATAATTACTAACATGTTTCAACTTTTTGAATAATAAATAAACAAATTGTTTTATACGCTTATAATATTCAAACTACTATTTTAGCAACACTTTGTATTTAAAGTGTTTTCAAATTTCAGATGTGTAGGTATTAAGTATGGGACAATTATTATAAAAGTTATCAGTTCTTGCAGTCAAGTGCTCTCTATATGTTTCTTATATTTTGAGAAATTGTCTCAAAATCGCTTGCATATCTATCTGCGTTTACAATGATTCAAAATATAATAATAAAAGTGTTTGTAAATATATGTAACGTTTCCAAATTTATTTTAATTTTTACTGAGGTAATGAGGTAAAGCTATTGAGGTAAGTATTTAACAAGAAAACAGTATTTGTTCGTTTGTGAAGCAGGCCAGTATATTTATTTTATATAATAACTTTTTAAATTCATAGAAAGGAGCGAATTATTATTTCTTTTTTAATAATATTTCAAGTATTAAAAACAATAAAAAGGAGTGCGAGACATATTTAATATAGGCTTAGTCCAATGTGTGTGTTGTCTGGAATAATTAAATATTTTTTTAATATTTTCATAAAATAAAGACAAGATTTATCATATATTTACAATAATTTAGGTCTGAATACATTTTTAATCGATATTATACATGTTTGTATACTAATAAGTTAAAACAGTATAGTATTTAATGATTGTTTCAACTTTTTTTTAAACGTAACATTAAAGTGATATAAAATATGTATAAAAGATATTTTAATATAAAGATACATGCGTTTTGTTAAAAGCTACAGATATGTAGCTTTGAACATAAACATGTACATCTATTAATTGCTATAATGATCAACATCTATTAATTGCTATAATGATGTATGATTAAAGCACCATAGTTTTGGACCAAAAGTTTTACTCCTTTTTTATAATCTACATTATAAATACAATAACAAGAATAGCGAATAACAAACAACTAGTTTATTACTTCACGTGAGCTTATCTGTAGTACAAAAGGAGCGAACAACACAAAAGTAAATTGTTTTTACCACAGAAAATCTCTTGACATGTAAGAACGCGCGTACACTTTACCCAGACTTATCATTTTAACAAAAAATATTTTTTTTTAATTCTTAACAAATTTTTAATAAGAGAGTTTAGTTTATCATGTCAAATTAATTAGATTTTTATTTTAGTTTCAATTTTTTTAATAGATATTATGTGATAAAAATCAATGAAAAAAATATGACAATTGTTTTCAAAAAGCTTATATAGCAGTTATTTATAATAATTTTTAAATTAACTTTGAATATATTATGATGTATGAACTTTATTTAAACATGATATTTGGTAGAAATTGGCTGACATGTAAAATTTTAAATGTTATTTTATTAACTCATGACCTTTAAGAAATAAACGTCTTTTAATATTTAATTTATTATAATGATAAATGATCAGCATTGTAATAAAGATTCTGGGACAAACTAAAGAGCGGTGAATGAAGCGACTGCAGCGAGGCCCGATGGTGCTGGACACGCGTCCATTATTCTATATAGGGACTCCTCACCTGTACTGCAGGTTCTTGGTTCGGTTTAGCAGATCGGCGTGCCCGGAGGAGTACTGTTCTATCACATCTTTCACGTCGTAAGGTTTCAATGCTTCTCTAAATCTCTTGCGCGCGACAAAGTACTTGAGCTATACGGAAATAAAATATATCCTGATAGCGTACGTATTCTTGTATTGATGCTCTCTTATTATAATTTGTGGAAGGAATATACAATTGTTCGATTATCAAATATCACCTTATAATTATCAAGAATATCTTATTTCAGATGACATTTATTTGATGAGCAGTAACGGAAAATTCTAAAAAATAATGGTTTCTCAATAACACTGTCATTATCAATAAGAAATGTTTTAGGAATATTAATATTATAACATATTACTTTACATACATGAGAAATTAGTAAAACTATCTAGTATAACATAATACGTATTACGTTAATGTGTATAACTACTTTGCAACAACTTTGACAACTACAATTACAAAATATATTAAGAACATCTCACAATACTGAGTAATATCCAATTTGAATGCAAGCGCAAGCAGTCCTGCTTTAATATCATGGAAGCCGTTTAAAATATATATAATTTCTCTTTCTATTTGTGTTAAATCGCTGGCAAGCATCGGTTATACTGCTTCATGTTATTAGATATACAATAATTACGTAATAACAATTTCGCCGTTGAGTAATTTCAAAGGAAATAATCAATTCTTAAATTTACATCGGGCGTTAATTGAATGAAAAATCTTCAATGTGTGTATGTATGTCGTTTAGCCGCAAGTATTGTTATAGATTTTAATTCCACTATGTGTTCTTAGTCTGTGTTATATGACAGTTACAATGTTCATTTGCTACTTTTGTTTCATAATACCATCTGAACTAAAAGTTACCTTACAGAGAGCTGACTACTTTATCACAAATATGAAGTGAAATAGGGAAAAAAGTCAAATCTAAAATTATCATGTCATGTCATATACAATGTCATTAAATGTATGTTGAAAATTAAAGACAGCAATACACACACTACACTTAACTACTGGGTATTATGTATAATAAAGTATTAGATTTGAAGCCAAACTCGACTACAAAGATAACTGAGCAAGACACAGTAGGTGTTATAAAGATCAAAAGAGAGAAATGTATGAAGAATGTAAGGTAGGTAAATGGCAAGTGCAAGGCGTACTGATGTCTCGGGCTAGGTACTACCTAGTTTGGACGTTTTTCACTCGCCCCAACAGGTCCACGTGGCCCGCTGAATACTGTTCTATTACATCCTTTACGTCGTATGGCTTAAGCGCTTCCTTAAACTTGCGTCGAGCCACAAAATACTTCATCTGTTAGGATTCCACAAGACAATAGATGAGAGGAATAAGTATGTGAATGTACAAATTAATAATGAATTTATCATGATTTGTCATTAAAAGTGAAATTTTGGGTTTGTTATTGATTTACATAAAATATAATCCGTGCAAAATACTAAGGCGTTATTGTTCTGTTGCTATATTGATCTTTTAATATAGCCGGTACTTTCGCGTCATAACTCTTTTGTTTTTCAGCGTGGTTATTATAATAATATACTGTGAAATACATCGCAATAAATTATTAATCAAAATACATCAGAAAACCAAACTTTTGACGGATATGCATATGTCGTACTTTATTTTATGTAATCATTATCTTTATGTATGAAATTTCGGTGTGCGTGTGTTTGTAATTATTCTCCTCCTAAACGGCTTGATCGATTTTGATGAAGTTTTTATGGGGTATTAATGGAGTAACCTGGATAACTCTTAGCCATTGTTGGACCCGGTAGGTGGCGCTGTTATCGAGATCCAGAAATCACCCGTGCAATGACAAGGCGGATCATCGTAGAATATAAATACTTGCAACATGCAAATATTCTTTCAATATTATACAAAACTGATAACATAAAATACCCTACGCATCTACTTACGAAACTACCTTACGTTAGCACTATTATTTATTCTGTGCTTACGTCTTCTACATATCTATTCTTACTTATCTATCTTACCTTACGTAACTATACAAGGCGAATGGCGAATGTAAATATAAATAACTTACTAAAGCTCCTAATATACTATAATATACTGATGTGATAGTGTACGTTTTTAAGAGAAAGTAAGTAATCTTTTAATCGACGTCTAAAATGAAAATGATTATTTGATACAGACAATCGGGTACTAATTGCAATATGAGATAACTTGTTTGTTTTGTGTAAGCTATAGTTTAAAGGTCCCATTTCGCCAAAGTAGATCAACACTAATTACTGATTCCATAGTAAAATATAAAATTTAAATCTTACAATGGCCAGTGGATCTTACTTGTAAGTGTAGGTGGTGCACATGCATAGTGTTTTAGTGTACGTAGGATTGCGAGAGTCCAAAATTATAATTGAATTGGATACCGTACGAAAATGGAAAATAAACGGAAAACGGTTGTTCGCAGTGATATTAGAATACAATTAGCAATGTATCTCTTGGAGTAAATATGTGTTATAATTTGATGTTGGTTAATTTACAGCCGTTAAAGATAGCAAGGTTGTATCTTTTTCATACGATAATATGAATTTATGTAAAGTGATAAGTGATTTAAATGTAAATAAATTCCTTTTGTCGTAAACGAAAATTATTTTATTTCACTAGATAGCTATAAATGCACTTATTTTGTACAATTGCGATAGGCTGGTTAGTGCAATCACAACTACAAGTTAGTAAGGTCTTTGTGAGATTAAACATTTTATACCTGATTAATCTGGGAATAAGCAACTTTATTGTTTTACCAACAGGTAAAACAATAAAGTTGCTTATGCTACAGTGGAACTTATGCTACAGTGGAATTTAATTAATTAATTTGAATTAAATTAAAAAAAAAAGAATTTCGGCGGAATCAAAGGCTTTCTTATAGTCCATATACGCAAGACAAGATTGTACGTTTCGATCTTGTGCAATTATCCGTATGTATGTTGTAGTCTATAGTACTAAAGCCCTTTCGGAAGCCGGCTTGTTCATGAGGCTAGAAGTCATCGAGTCTGCGTGCGAGACGATTCGTAATGACCCTCGATAATAGCACGTAAACGCAGCTATAACGGTAAATCGGCATGTAGTTCTTAAATAGAGCGTTATAGCCGATCATGATGAACAAGTATATCGCATCTACATGGTGGCAGGCACTACTTCAGGCCTCCGGAGGACGGAATTAATAAGCTTTTGAAGGACTTTAAGTATAATGGTTTTTCCACTCGTTTTCAGAAGCTTCTTTGTAGTTCCATGCTCGCCTGGATCCTTAAATTAAGGGCTTGGTAGGCTATTCTAATCTCGTTTAGACTGACGTCCGGGATATCACCGGAATACTGTCGGATGAGAATTGATATTGGGTCGTCACTACTACTTGTGTGTGTTTTCAGGCACGATGAGAAAAGTATATGGAGATGACGCTTTCATAGTTGGTGTTCAAATTCGAAAGTTGGCTCTTTATGGCAGTCAGATCTCTGCCAGATTTTGTTGCCATGGTTTTGCGCAATTGGCTTTTCAATACTGTTTCGCTGTATGCATTTGGAAAGCTGTCTCTTCAGTTACCTAAATGCTGCCATATCTATTTTGACAGAGATTGTGAGTGGAGAAATTTTGAGTTTTTCTGCAACGGGTCTTGCATAACTTAATTTAACAGTACAAACATAATGTTCATTATGAAAACCATTTATCTAATTTGTGAGAAGTGGTGTAAAATTAAAAAGTAAAATTAAATTCAAAGGCGACCAACATTTAACGTCACTGAACGGTTCCGATTCAAAACGTGGATTATTGGCGGTCTAAAATTTTCTTAAACCATAGTTTAAGCTCGATATCAATCAGGAAACCATGGTTTGTAGAGTTTTAATATAATCGATCCTTAAACTGTTTATATTGTGTAATGAAAGCAAAAGTATGAGCAAATTTTCAAGAGTACTGAGTTATATTCTCAAGTAACATTTGATTGAAAATGAATGTTTTGGTGAAGAAGTACTTTGAAAATTATTGGAGGGTAGCTAAGATATTTTGTTTCAGAGACATATGGAATATTTTTATAAAGCTTCATTTTAAGTAGATCTACTGAGTAATAAAATGAAAACGTGTATTTCCAACAACTGTATCTTTACAAGTCACAAATTACACCCCTGTTCTGAACGATAACTCTCCTATGTAGTCTGATTAAGCATTTTAAAAATATATAAAAATGTGATAAATAGGTGACTGAACGTAATGTTTTATTTTTTACATATAATTGCAAAATTTCCATGGATTTCTATGCATTATTAAATTCACATAAACGATATTAAAAAAACAATTGCGTCAGTCCTCAGTTTTTGTGAAGTAGATTAAAGCTTCTTTATGGGCAGTAAATCATACTCTTCTGAACCTTTTCCTGACTTTTAGAGTTAATAAAAATGGCACAATAAAAAAATCGGCGAATGCTTAAAATATGTCTAAAGTTTCGTTACATTCTTATGAATTCTCTTTATTTTTAAATTTATAAATTACATATTGAGCCACAAGGTAAGTATTAAGTCTGCCACTTGGTTTAAGATGTTTTACAATAAAATTTTAGATATACAATATTGTAACTTCATTGTGCATCATTTCTCTATTCTCGTCTTGTCGATTTTCATTTTGTAGTAGTACGAGTTGTTCAGATACACAGAATCAGTTCAGATACATAGAAGTAGTAGAAGTATGATAGATGCAAAATATGTATAATAATTTCACTTCTTGTTATTGATTATTAATTATTAGCTATAAGTGTGAGATCCCACCGCGTGGTTACTACGCCCATCTTTTTTTTAAATAGTAATACAGTTCTTAGTAACTGTTACTGTAACTGAGTGTTAATAGAGGAATACGTTTTTGAGGAGTTTTCAATCAAAATTTGGCCATAAGTATTTTTATTTAAAATCATTTAATGAATTATCACGAACAATTTTTTTCACCTGTTTTTAGAAAAATAATTCAATAATATGCAAGAAATATATATACTGAGTTATTTTTCAAAGAGTAGCCAAATTTTAAAATTAGTAATAAAAATACGAGAAAGTAAGGCTTCCACTTTTATTTCAAATTATCCCAAATTTAATGTGATTTATATTTAAAAACGTATTTGCCTACCGATGAACCGTGAACAAACACATTAACCACACATTTTGAATTTACAAGACGAAAAGGACTTATTAATTGATATTTTTTTTATTAGCCTTTATTACTTATTCTGAACCTACACTGCAAATTTGGGCCGTTATTGCAAAATAACCCTGCATATATAATATATATATATATATATATATATATATATATATATATATATATATATATATATATATATATATATATATATAGTTTTAGTTGGGTTGCCACTTTTTATACGGCCGCAAACTCTAGGCAACGAGGTGTGTACACAGGTGTCCGATGAAAATAAACGTTTGAACTTACTTTAATGAATCATATAACAAATTACAGCAAATTATTTTCTTATACGATACATTAGGGTTGCCTATTAATAGATGGCCGCAAATAAGGGTCGCCTGCTGTAATATGTACGCACAAGCGAGGCAGGGTTAGCTTGCATCAGATAAGGACGCAGCTGTACATGGCTGTAAGCCTATTGCGCATGAAGATATAGAATCCGATCTTTATGAAGGCATGTTTACGTTGCTATATCAAAGTTGGAATATTTCGGTAGTATTGACTCGCATTGCATCATACAAACATTTAATAGATACTAGATATACAGCAGTTCAATTCAAAATTGCTCCATAGTACGTACCTTCCTTATGAATCGGATGGCAGCTTTATGTCGCGGAGTTAACGTCACACAACGGGGTTCCTCGTCCTCATCTGCACAAAAATGTAAACTTGATATATATACAAAGACGAACAATAAATACAATCGTTGAATAGAAAAAAATATTAAAAGAGGTTTAATGTAATTTCAGAACTAGAGAAAAGAAGGTAACTAAATTTATAATTATTTAACAAATAAGGCGAGGGTTTCCGTGACGATCTTCATTTTGACCGCTACCTTGTGTTTAGAACGCAATGTGTTCAAGATGCACCGTGAAGCTATGCGCGTCATTAAGGCAATGCAATGACCGTGTCCAAAAGTATAACGCCACATTTTAGTGTACTTAAAGAAGCTTGATGTATACATATGTAGGTACTTCCCCTAATTTTCATTTATTCGTAAGATTTAAGTTAAGTTCACATTAAATTATGTATTTAAGTGATTTCTTAAATCTTGTTAGATTGATGATAAAAATCTTAATATGAGTTAGAATCATAATTACCGTAATGCCATTTATTGATTTCGTAACATACAATTTAAACACTTTTAAATAAAGATTCCACAAAATAAACATCTCGAAGATGTGTTTATTCGTCCTTTACATAATAACATAGATATCCTTACGAGTTATTCACAAAAGCGTGTCTTAATATATGTAGTTACATAACTGAAATAAAGGTTCATCAGGTAAGAAAATCTTAGTCATACATACGCATTAAATACAGAACCTCTTTGATTAGAGCTAGTTAAGGAATGGAGGTCAATTGGCATCGGCAGCAGCGTCTTACTTTCCTGGTAATAGGAACTTTCTAATAGTGCCAGCAGTCTCCAAGAGAACTACCTATTAAATATACTACCTCCGTTGATCCATTGGATTTGGTTGTAAAACATTAAAGTTCTTGAAAATTGTCTAGTATTACATGTTAAGTAATCATGTTAAATAAAGTAAAAATAAAACAATAATAGATATTTTTTAAAAGATTAATATGTACATAATATAGTACACATACTTAGTACTTCCGTCTTTACTTTAAAAATACATGACGTATTGATGTTATCAATTTTTACTAAAAAATGATGGGGTGGAGCCCCCGGGCTACTGATTCACTATAACAACGCACCCGGGTATTCAGCGCTCAAAACGAAGTATTTTCTGGACAGCATACCGGTAAAGCTTTCCACCTTCCTTGCAGCCTTCATTTAGCTTCGTGTGATTTCGTTTTATTTCCGAAAAATATAAATAATCAGCTGAAAGGGACGCAGTTTTCATTATCAGAAGCGGTCGAGTACACCGTAGAAGGGGTGTTTGCGGCGTACTGGAATGTGTTTTGGAAATTGTTTCAGAAGCATGAAACTTTGTATAGATGATGACGGAGAGTTCTTTGAAAAGCTTTAATAATAAAAACTTTAACCATAGCACATTTTTAAGTTTCGCAAAACTTTCTGAGTGGTTCACGTATGCCGCTAATTGCAAGTTTATGTTCATATAAAGTCAACTTTCAAAACAAACAATGGAATCATCCAAATATTCCATCCTCGGAAAATAAATACCAACATAAACAAGATCCATCTTAATTATCGGAGTTAGTGAAAAAAATGTTTTAATTACAAAATACCCGAAACCGTAAACGTGAAGAACGGATGAATAATCAATCTATTTTATACATTGAAGATTTTTGTGGATAAGGGACTTATTGAGCCAATTTAAAAAGAATCAGTAATGTGCTAACGATTTTGGAATTGATCTGCTATTTATATAAGTGCCTATTTAAGCACTTAAGTGAATTGAAAAAAAAAAAGACAGGGCTAAATACAACCACGGCACCGAATTGATATTGATTTTGAACTCACAGTTCCGTCAATGTTAAAAATTTCATTCTAATCTGACGTGGCAAATGGTTGCATAGCCTACCATTTACTCTAGTAATTTCTCTTTATTTTTCGTTAAAAGTGGCTCAATGATAGTTCAAAAGTGTTTGCTGTCTCAGAATACGAGTATAGTCATATATTTTTACTACAATCTATTCTAATATGAATTTTCATAACTACTTTATTGGTTAGATTATATTGTAGTTTAAGTCTAGATAATCCTTTTATTAATTAGTTCTGACGAGATGGAAGAACGATTTATTTATTTATAGAAATAGAGTGACATACAAGCTTATAGTCCACCTGATGGTAAGTGAATGCTGTGACTCATCCACATTTATATCTATCCTCGATAAAGAATCAAATTGCAGATACGTTGTCATCCGTGAAGACTAAAATGGATTACCTCGTTTCCAGTAAAAAAGGGTCACCGGTTCTCCACACTCATCATACGAAAGACAGCAGCATAATTTATTTGTTAATAGTACTAAAAGATTATAATAAACCGCTAATATAATACGAAAAAATATAAATAAAATATTAATACATCGTTCTTGAATCGTATCCAAAAATTTAGTAATCTGATATATTATGATATACTCTTAGATGCATCACTTGTTAGTTTTATAAGCAAATGCCAATAGGCCTGTGCTTGTAAAATAAAAATGGTATTGAAGTAGAAGAACAGAGAAAGCGATTCAGACATTTTGATGTCTTTGTCGTTTATTTATTTAAAGTGATACTTGCATTCTCAAAAGATTTTATCTATTTATACTTCCGTTGGCGCAAATAAATTGAACTGCAATTACAGTTAACAGCCCAGCCAGTTGCATTAACTACAATCTATGGGTTGCATACTACTAACCCAGCTATTTTACATTGACTACGACTGCGATAATTATTTTGTAATTTTCGTTGTCTATGGTATCGCTTGCATTCCACCCATGCGTGCTTATGTATTTTGTGGCAAACATTTGGGAAATAGGTTTTCTTATATTTACGCGGAATAAGTCTTTTCTTATAGACGAGAATACAGCAAATTTAAAAAAATATATTATACGGATTTGATCGCGTTTAATTATAACTTCTCATTCGATGATCATGGTTGCTGTAAAGAATATAGCAAACTATAAAGTATAACGCGGGTCACGCTTAGAAATCCAATAACGTCACAATTGTCACTAATTTTTAAAGCCTATAGCACTTTCAGTGAATCAGTACAGTATTAATAATTAACTTCTTAAAATAACAGGTTTTAAATTTTACTTGTAAAAGTAATTTATAAAGGAGACTTGTTTTGACCAACTTAAAATAAAAATCTAATTCTTTGCCAACTTTTCAGTCAATTACGTTAATGCGGATATTTCGGAATTATAAACAAAAAATCTTTCTTTGTAATTAGACGTTTATTAGTTTTAGTGGCCATGTTAAAATCCATAATAGTGTCCATATAGATCTTGCTATGTGAGGTTGCTTAGCGATCTATGAAGACAGAGCTCTAACTTTCTCTGTGTGACTTGCTAATGAGGATATCCTCAGTAGAACCAGTGTAACTGACATAACCTTATAAATCAGTAACTAAAGTGGAAATAGGCTGGCTATGTAGATGGAAGAACCGACAACCGATGAATAAAAACTGTTCTAGATTGGCAGGCTCGTACCCAAAAATGTGTGAAAAAACTAGATGAAGTGACGACCTGGTAAGGGATGTAGGAAGTCATTGGACGATGCACGTGGCTTAGGAGCTCAGGGCCAAGATTTACCATGGGTTGTATTGTCATCATTGATGGTAAGTGATGATGATGATGAATACTTTGTACTATTACAAATCGTTTACAATATTTTTAATCAAATACTTAGGTAATTTTTGCTTGAAAAAAAACTACCATCTATTGTTGTATAATAAAATCTATGTTTTACCTAAATCTATTATTCTTTTAAAACATCACAACATAATCTTCGAAAATGAAAAAACAGCAGTATGATTAATTCGTAAAAATAGTAACGTCATCAAAATTTATCAAATTTTTTGCCACAAAAGTTTTGATGGGTTAATATTTATTATTATTTCCTCTTGTGTTCTGTGGAAATTCAAGAGATACTCTTTTAGTTTAAAGTTACAAATTTAGATCATCAGAGTCGGGTAGAGCTTTTATGTGGGATGCTATTTGGAAGATCTCTTATTACGGGGACTGTTACATTACATTTTAGTACATTTTATAGTTAGGATGAAGGATACTTAATCTCACTAATTTATTTTATAATTTTCTGTCAACCAAAGCGACGTTGCACTATTTTTTCTGAAATTTCTAATAGTAAATAGGAGAAGAAAATTTTAATGTAACTATTTAGTCGACATTCTAGTTGTTACCTTGATATTGCCATATTTCTAAGATCAATCAAAAAGCTAAAAAAAAATAAAAAAGTAAAAACCGAATACAAAAACAAAAAATAATATAATAATTTCCACATAATAGCTTCTGAAGTCGTCGTTATGTATATATCAAATAAGTAAAGCCCTGATTTATTGATGATTTATGGATTACACTATATCAAAACTTTGTTATGCTTACTTTCGAAGCCCTTTTTTATAGGGTAGGGTGACAAACGAGCACACAGTCCACCTGATGGTAAGTAGTTGCTGCGGCCCATAGACATCTACATCAATCCTCGATTACAAATCAAAATGCAGATGCGTTGTCACCCGTGAGGACCAAGATGGAATGCCATGTTTCCAGTAAAAAGGGTCTTCGGTCTCTACACTCACCATACGAAACACAGCAGCGTTAAACTACTATTTCACGCTGGTATTCTGTGAGAGCGTGGTCGGTCGAGCAGACCCATTCGTGCTACAGCTATACTACTAATATAATTGCAACATGGCTCAACCACGTATAAAACTTTTACATTTTTAAAATAATCAAGCAGTATTTGATTGCGTATTCTAAAATATGCTACTGTATTACCATAAAGAACAAGTCTTACTATTGTAGCTGCAAGCACAGAATAAATAATAGTACTACGTACAAAGTTGCAGTGATGCTGACTGCTTGCCGACGTTTAATAGCCTACATAACTATTATTAATTAGATAAATCGCGCTTGCAAGCTAAATAAAACTTTATCGCTGCGCGAGAGTTTCCGTATTACTTTGCATCTTTTCCCCTTCCTACGTTACGGCGGAC